GTTTCCAGCTGCTGGGAGTCCCCCCTCCAATCGTAGAGTGTCACCGAGAGATTTTCTTTAAAATGTCCTGAAGAAAGCTGCACATGTTGTTTCATGTTTCATTTGACACAGTGACAAAAACAGAGCTGAGAAAATCCAGATTTCCATACATCCTGAAAAATCCGTTATTCACATCTCCTTTCGTGCATGACTGTTAGAGATCATTTGATTTTAAAATGTTGGTTTTGTTATCAAAACGTGTTTGCACAGGTAGTTTCAAGATTTTAAAAAAAAAACAAGTAAAAAAGCCCAAAAGAAATAGCAGGAGTGCACAGAGCAAGAGGGCGGGGATTCATTTTCCGTAAATGAAGAAGACATCACATCACTGAGAGGAACGATGAAGGAAATATGTCTGCAATGTCTGCTCAGTAAGTAAAAACCTCTTAAGGTTACCTAAAGTTTATTTTTACAGATTTTTTGAATGTTGATTGATGACAGATGAAAGAAAATGACATAAGCAAAGAAGTGAATCAGTATTTCAAGAAAGTTTAAAACACAAAGAAGACACATTTCAGCTGTGAAGAGGAAGTTTGAGCATCTTACACAAAAAAAGTGAAAACTGAATTTAGCAATTTAGTGATTTTAAAAACAGAACTGGACTGTGGAAATACATTTACTATTACTTGTGAGGTCTTTTACTCAATGCATTCACAAGGTCTACAGCTCAAAAAAGTAGAACTATATTAACAAAAATGAAAAAATCTTGCCGATTTAACAATAATACAGAAATTCCTCCATCCTCAGATGAAGATCAAGACTGCTTGTTTGTGCTCAGGAGCAAAAACATTAAAATGTCTACATTCAACATAAGCAGCATTCATTAACAAAACATAAAAATTTAAATAATAATCTGTACCACAAAAGTAGATGTTAGACTACAATGACTTCTGTTACTGGTTCTGCTGGTGGGATAATGTTTTCAACACATAATCTTTGTCCACAACCAAAAATGGAAAGATTAAAGGATGCATGTGTTTGATGAACTGCAGTGGCTCTGTTCTTTCACTGCAGACACCTGCAAAAGAACAGAGTCACCCCCTACTGGCCATTAGAAGGAATGCAGGTTTAACATTAGCTTTAGCTTCTCCTTTCAGGCCCATGTGTTTCTATGTTCTATGTTTGCAGCTCTACACATTTATAGACATGCTGCAGCAAGGCTTCTGACAAAAACATCGAAATACTCTCATGTAACACCGTTGCTTATACAGCTGCACTGGCTCCCCTTTGAATTCAGAGTTCATTTTAAGATTCTGGTTCTGACATTTAAGGCTCTTCAAGAACAAGCACCAGCGTACATCATTGAACTTTTACAGCCCTATGCCCCTAGTAGGTCCCTGAGGTCTTGTGATCAGGGCGTACTTGTTATTCAGTATACAAGACTGAAAACCAAGGGTGATAGAGCTTTTGCCACTGTGGCCGCCAGACTGTGGATCTCTCTTCCTCAGAACTTCTGCAGACTCAGTGATTACTTTTAAAAAACAGCTAAAAACACGTCTTTTTAAAATTGCATTTTGTTAACTTTTGACTGTTTTTGTTTTTTACCTTGTAAAGCACTTTGTGATCTTTTATCTAGAAATGTGCTATATAAATAAAATTTTACTTACTTACTAGGGTTGCCTGTTACAGTACTGTTTTTCATTATTATGTTAGGATCTTTTAAATAATAAGAAAACAGCAAAGTGAGGGTTTTTTTTTTTTTAAGATAAACAAAATACACCTCTTTTTTATCTTTTAGTGCTGCAGTTTATTGTCTGGATGAAAACAGAATACATGCTGGTTGGGCAGAAAGGCTTAGAAAAGGATCTCAACACAGTGCACAACATGAACACAACACATAAGCTTTTAAATGTTTTTATAACTGTCTAAATACAGCAAATATATAAGTGATAATAGTTTTGATACCAAGTGAAATGACATATTATGCAATATGTTAAAATAAAAACATTAATAAAGACTGACAGAGTAACAGATGCAATATTAAGCCTCAGTCATTAATAAAAATTCAATATAAAAGATTAAAAAAGATACATAATATCTGAACAGCTCTTGTTTAGGTCATGGAAGGATCTCTGCATGAGGATCAGTTTGTGCCGTCCAAACCTCACACAACAAGTTTGATCTTACAAACAGCTGCTGAAACAAAAATGTTCGCTGGCTCGATAATTACTATTACATTTCATATACAGTACACAGAAGCAAAATTACTGAGATTATATAAAACGGATCCATGAAAATACTGAAGACGAACAAACACTGTAGTTCACAGAGAGAACGGAGTCTGAACAGGTTTGATGATAATCACAGAAATGTGATGTAACTGGTGCAGATTTCTGCTCTCTGCTGTGTTTTTGGCAAACAGGTTTTGCTATACTGTGGAAACTTCAGGAGGTGATGGTCTGACTCTGGTGGGAGTGGGTTTGATTTGTTTTGAGGGGTTTTTACTGTTTGTTCTTTTAAAGGTGGGTCCAAAAGGTGCTTCATTTAACATGTGTCTTTGGATATTTCAGTGTGTTCACATGTGATTTTCTGATTTTTGTGTTAGTGTTTTAGTTATAGTTAGTGATTTCAAAACTGTTAAGATCTGCCGTGGTCATTTGCAATGGATTGAAATGTTTGTTTTAGCGTCTTGGTTTTCTGTCCCTCAGTTACAGCCAGTGCTCGGTGTTCCAAAGTAATTAAAGTAATCACAGTGCATTTTTCTGTAAATTAGTAATGTAACATGTGACCGTACTAAATTCAGTAATAACATTATTTCTTGTTACTACAAGGGGGTCTTTAATCTGCGCTCATGTTGGACAGACAGAAGCGAACACAAAAATTCATGTTCTTTTTGTCATGAGAACTTGCGCTACACTCAGCTGATTTCATCTTATCCTCAATTTATCCTCAGGTTTATATTTTTAACTTATCATTTTTAGACAATGAGTTCCAGGTCATTTTGCAGAGTAATGCAAAACAGATGTAACAAATGACTTTCTTTGGTATGAAATAAAGGAAAGATGATGACTAATGTGTAGTATATTACTTTTTTGAGTAGCCCAATAATGATTACAGAATATTAGCCAAGACTTAGGTTAGGCTTGGTAGGGGAATGAATGGTGAAGTAAATATGTCTGCTGCTGTTTGCCTCAGGTTATTCTTATTTTACAGTTGTAATGTTAATTGTGAACATGTTTGATTGACGTTTAGCATCATGCATTTTTGCCTATTGTTTCTTTGTTTCTATTTCTCCAACAACACAGAAAACATCACTAAATCAGTCTGATGTTTCAAACAGCTGCTGATCAACAGCAGGCCTGTGTGAGACATGACTCTGTGTCTTTTTATGTTTTATGTGGATCAAAAACCAACAACAAGAAGCACAGCAGAAACACTCAGAACAACTATCAGTCCAACAGGTCCAACCCCTGGGTGTCCTCCTGTCTGACCTGCAGGTGAGAAACAGGTGTGAGGTGTCAGCTCTACAAAGTCTCATCAACAACATCTTTAGAAACAAACATCAACAACCAGGAAGCAGCTTCACCTCTGATCACACACACACTCAACTCTACTCACTCACCTGGAGGATCAACTCTGAGGTCGATGATGCTGATGAGCTTCAAAGGTTGTTTGACTCCCTGGACGACATGGCACTCATATGTTCCGTTATCAGCAGTCGTCACATCCTTCAGAATCAGAGACACGTCTCCATTCTTCATCTGTCTGTCCTGCAGATCCACCCGGTTCTCAAAAGATGGATGCTGCTCATCTGGGACAAATTGCTGATCCCGGTACATCAAGACATAATGTCCATTCAGGTCACGTCTGCTCCACTTCACCACTATGATGGGTTTGTTATTGTTTGCAGCTCGACATGACAGAGTAACGTCCTGTCCAGACTCAGCTGTGATAATCGTCTGGTCTGAGAAGAGAAAACAAAGAGCAGAGAGGCATGAGTGATTCTTGGTTCAGACTCTTAGAAAAAGAACAATTTCATGGATACAGTCTCTTTAAAAGAGCTGCTGTAACAGGCTGCCGCAAATGGGGGGCGCTGGAAGTAATCAAATTAGTGATTCAAATTAGTAATTGCACTTTATGATTGCAAAGGTTGTCAATTCTTCACATTTCCTTAAGCCGTATGTCAACTGGGTCCATTACCGTGTTGCCTTCAAAGCAAGTCATTAAATTGGATGACCAACTGTAGTGTCTAATAGTGTCTCTGATAATGACAGAAAATAATACTAAAAGGCATTTGTATTTGCTACTATTTGTATAGTTATTTTAAGTGGTGCTTGAGCACCTCCAAAAAGGGTCAAAACTCGCCAGAACAGAACGGTTTAAAGTTTCAAATTATGATTGTTCACTTCTACAGCAGCCAATCAGAGTGGAGAGAACCCCCCAAAACACCACTGAACTCTGCAAAAGTGGACCACACACACACACACACACACACACACACAGGCAATTGCATTCATTATTGTTTAAAAGAAAGAATATGTATGAAATAATATGAAATGCTGTGTTACAGATGTCATGTTTCCCAGACGTAATATACAAGAATAAGCAAAATGGTTATATAATATAAAATCAGTGCTAAAGTGATCAAATTATAATCACAAAACAACATTTTTAATCATTAACAAATATTAAATACATTATAAATTGTTACATGATGATTGCTTTAGAATGTAACTGCCATTTCTTATCAGCTGACACGTGACGAGACAAAGACAGACCAAACATGAAAAAGGGAGAAAAATGCAAAGCAAACAAGAACCAATAAATGAGAATTTAAGTAACAGAATTCAGGCTCTAAAAACCTAAACATTAGAATCTCAGAATTCCCAAAGAAGGAATAACAACAATCCAACCAAGCTTGGATCCAAAGAAGTTACCATAATCATGAAACTTTTATCGTAGGTAGCGATCGTGGTAGTTCTACATATGGAAGATAATAGAGAAAACGGAGAAGGGAGAAAATAACTCATAGATCAATAGATTAATGTAAACATGTACAGAATTACCGGTCAGCACAGCCATCAAGATGGTGGAAAAAAACAACGTGGTGCAAAGTGTTGCATTAGCCATTTCCGTGTTCTCTGCTGAACTTTCCTTCACTTGATTTAAATGTCCGAGGATTTTGCTATTTTCAATAAGTTACAGATAACCCAAGTTAAAACCCAATGAGATTATTTTAATTTAAAAGTTTAGATGCTAGTTTTAATAAAACTCACTGACTACGAGAGCAGACAGACATCCTAGGAAAAACAGTGATTTGTGATGTGCTGTGATTTGCTGAGACGCTGAGGAGGAGTGCGTATTTACGAGTTGCTTCCGGGACGTAAGTATTTTAAACAGATTTTAAACCGAATCTTTTCTGTTTAAAATCTGTTAAATTAATTACTTGTAGGACTTTATTCCTTGTTTTAGAGGCTGGACTGTAGGGTAAAAAATAATTACATGGGCAATAAGAAAGGAGGTGACGTATAAAGCAGGTCTGAGTGTTTCACAGGTTCTGTTCTCAAATGATGTCCACAGAACAACACAAACATAACCAAACTCACCCATCCAACTGAAGGTTCAAACCTAGTTCAACATATCTACCATGTATGCAGATCAATACAATTTAATGCTTTAAACACAAACAGTGTCACTTTATCCTGGCTTCTGTAATGCACAGTGAGACAGTGCAAGGCTGCTGTGATCTCTCTTTTTTGTCCCAGTCAGTAATCTGGCATTTGGCTAATGACTGTAGTATGCAGTGCATTGCAGGGGTCCAGTTTACATGTGAAAAGGCATAACCCTTACCAAAAACATTGCAGTCTGGTGATTGTTCTAAAGGCTGAAAGACGTCACTGTTGTTCTGCGGGCGTCTCTGAAACCATCAAGCACTCTTCTGCTCATCAGGAAGGAAAAAATATCCACAAAGAAAAAACAGTGTAAGGTCAGTATACACTGTTTTTTTTTTTTTAGGTATTAAGAGAAAACTCATATTTTGTTCCAGTCAAGCAAAACAATCAATAAAAAGGTAAAAAAAAAAGTTCATAAATTCAAAATTAAAAAATGAAACAAGTTTCAAATCTACTGGTAAAGTGGTCTTTACCACATTACCTTACACCCACAAATGCACCTGTACTTCCCCGTCAACCTGTTTTAATGACATGAAGCTGTGTGACCAGTTTTCATGGTTGTTCCACCTGTTTGTCTCTGAGCCCACAAGGTTGACAAATGTTCCAAAGACAGATTTTCATTTGATCCCAAATGAAAGAAGTGAAAACAAAGACCAGACAGAGTGCAGCAGCTGCTGACTGCAAACATTATTAATGCTCTTTTTTTTATTATTGAAGCTCTCAGACACAGTGAAAGCATGAACCTGTTTCTACTGCTACTACTCCACTACGTCCAGTGGGCTTAAAGCAGATTTCAAACAGTGATCACAGGAGTGGGCCGTGGTCTCTGCTGCTGTAAATAACACATTATGATTAAGGCTTTTTTAGAGCAGGGTGTTACTTTTTAGCCAAAAAACTATAACCTCTGTTAAAACTCATCTTTGTATATTTTTTTGGATTAACCTCATTTTGAGACTTCTTGATTTTTCTCCTGACACATGAAACCTAATAAATGTAAAAGGCTGTGCTTTATTTTGCACATGACTACAAATGAATACTTACAAGCACAAACATGCACAAGCAAGACGTTAGACTGACACATAACGGTCAGAGGATCCTGGGATTTCACCCGAGGGACTGAGTTGATTGAACACACAAAAACACACAAAAGACTGCACTGCAGTCATTTTTATTTCAGGCTAGGCTAAATGTTGTATTTGTGGAACTTTAAAAAATATATTCACAGAACTAGCAAAATCATTTTGATATCTTACTTTTGTAAATTTTTGTGTGTGTGGTGGAAAACTTCAGAGAGACATATGGCACACAGACACACACATCTTGGCATGACTTGAACAGTTGCTTTGCTGCCAGGTTTCTGGATGATTCAGAGTCTCCTGACATGAAGTGACATATTTGACACTGCCCCCAAACACACACGCACACCAGCATCAAGGCCAAGCGACAGCTCTTTTATTTGTGGCAACACATGCACACACACACACACTGCCATTGTCAATCAATCTGGCTGAGTTCCAGCCCCGCCCTGAGCCTGTCCCTGCAAGCTCACTGTGTCACCGCTTCGCACCGTTTCAACGGACGCTACAACACAACATGTTGGGACTGGTTAGCATCCCTTTCACCACATGTTACATATAAGTTTCTGCTTTGACTTACTCATACTTCTGTATAAGGAGCAGCTTCAGTTCAATTTAAGCTTTGAATGAGGTGAGACAGAATTAAGGTTAAAATGCTGCAGAAACATAATAAAAGCAACAGAATGATAACACTGAAACTGTAACCAATCAAATCACTAGAAATGGGAGGAAATAAAGACGTGTAAATGTGTTTTCATTCCCAGTTACATCACTGATATGTTGCCAGCGAACCTGATTGTTGTGAAATTTCCTCCAGCCCTTTCTTTTTAGCACCACTTACTTTTCTAGCCTTTTGTTTTCCACTTCCCAACTTTTCGAGACATTTTATGACTGTTAAGTTTAAGCTTTTCTCATCTTAAACATTTGAAATGTTTTCTATGTTCTGTAGTTCATAAAATATGAGCTTTTTAAGTTGGCAGAGAACTGCATCCTGTTTCACATTTACATTTCAGAACAGTTCAGCAGTTTGCACTTTCATGAAAGGACTGTTTTGAATGGGCAGTCTAAATAAAATAAACCTCCACAAAAGGGTTGTTTTCATCTGTTGTGATTTTGGTTAAAGGATAGTAAAGGAGACAGAGAGGAAATGAAATAAAAGGAAATAAAGCTAATTATTTCAGTCAGAGGGAAACTCAATTAAAAACACCAAACACACTGATTCTGTTTGTATTATTGTAGTACATACATAATATCACGTTCGTACAATATAAATATTATATTGTACGAACGTGATATTATGTTGTTCAAACGTGAAAGGTATATTGTACAAACATGATACTATATTGTACAAACAGGAAAAGTATCTTGTTAGAATAATAAACTTTTCATGTTATAACGTGATACACTTGTATTTTTCTTTTGCCTGGGTGGCAGCTCTACGCCTCCGTACTTTCGTATGTGGTACTGAATCCGATGCATATCTGATGTTGTAGAAAGCGACTGCTGTTTGAATGATCATGTCTCATTAAATCCGTCTTTTACATTACTGACACAAGACAGACGCCAATTATCAGTGCTGGAGAAGACAAATGAGAAAGCATGGCGGCGTAAACTGGAGACGGAGCGAGTCAATGGATGGAACCTGAGGTTTTGGTCTTGATTAGCATATGGGGAGCCAATTTTATATAAGCTAAACGAGTCCGTGTCCATATATACCTCTGCATGGAGCCATTGTTAAAGCACGGGCTCTCTTTTTTTCTCAATGTCCTTCTTTCTGTAATTAATTAATTAATTTCTGTAATTAATTTGTCAAAATTACGATTACGACTGTGCAGAAATTGATACGATTACGTATGCAGTGACGTTCGAGGCCTCGCGGGCAGTCAGGAAGTGGTTTTCGCCAGATTCGAAATAAAATGGGCAGCAAAACACAGCTGATTCCCCATCGCATTGTGTTGTGGAATTGGATTACGTACGTGCTACATAGTTACTTGAGCATTTCTTCTTCGACGAAACCAGCAAGGAAGATTTTTTTTTTATCTCATCTCTCCTAATAAAGTATGCACACAGTAATAAATATCACAAATGATAAGTGCCATAATACAAATAAACAACACTACAGATCCTATAATCTGATTTATGTCTTTTAGTTTATTAAAAAGTGAAGCGCCACACAGTTTGTGTCATTATCCAGATGTACATAAGCATGATTACACAGTTACACAATCATACCAAAACTCTGTCCTGATATTTTCCACTTTCTCTTTTGTATCAGACATGCTGACACAATATTCGGGATAAATAACCATGGAAACAATTTATTTATTCAGTTTAGAGGTTTACACATCATTATAATCACAGAGCCTGTTTTACTTGAATTGTCTACTTGATGGCGCAGTAGAGCAAATGAATCATCACAGTGCTTCGAACCATGAGTCGACAATTGGATGGAAAGCTTCAGTTCATCACTAGGCTTCATCTCACCATCACTAGTGAAGACTGCTAGCCCACAACTACACCTGAGACTTAGAGACACACGTTTTCAAAGTGAAAGTGAGAGAGAGAGAGAGAGAGAGGGAGAGAGAAAATGACAAAACCCCAAATCTGCAGCATCATAACAGGATCAGGTTTACTACCAAAACCGCTGAACTCATGTGCTGAGAGTTCAGATAGGAGCCTGTAAGACTGTACCTCAGAACAGTTTCTATTGTAAGGACTAGACAGGCATCAAAATCAGAATCCTTATTGTCATTAAATATCAGACGTTCAGCAAACATACAAGTTAAATGCCTCATCTAATTACATGTTAAATATCTTATCTGAGATGTTTATTCATAAAA